GTGAGGAAAGGGTTCTGAGAGCCTTGGAAGTGATATTCGTGATCACCGCGAAATTCTCTATCGAATGGTGTATGAAGTGTCGAAAAATAAATTTCACTGCAAGGCTGCCCTGGGTGCATCTTACATAAAGTTAATTTTTTCATTTTACAATGTATTTTTGTCAACTGAATTTTTGAATATGCATCAAAGGGATGGAAAAAAATAAAGATATCTGCACTATGTAAGACTTTTAATGTACATCATAACAGATCCAGCAAGATGGAGAATTCGCTTTTTGTCGGCATTGATCAACACCTCCAGAAGCACAAAGTTATGCCACTGAATTATTCTTTATTTTTTCATTCCTTACTGTTCCTGCTTCATCATCGCCGTGTACCTAGTCAAGTTTCGAGAAAACTTCTTCGCGGGGATCGCCCCGTAAGCTTTCTACCTCGTCCTTCATCGACTATTGATAAAACTATTCCTTTACATTCTAAGACACTTTTATTATAGCTTCAGCTGAAATGCTCACTGCACTGAAATGCAAAATTTTTCTTTTTATTTTAATTCTCATATGTTTTAATTTCACTTAAAACAGCTAATTTTTCACTTCGTTTGATAAACTCCTGTACATTAAAATTTGTTGATGATGAAAACGTTCCAGGTAACGCTCTGCAATTTCGAAACGTGGCTTCGCGTGATTGTGAACTAAATAAATATATATTTAATGATTCAGGTGGTAATTGTTTATTCATCACTTGCATGGTTAAATATGTTAAATTATGTGCATTTAATTCAATGGAGAAAAACATTGGTTTTGTGATAAAAAATTTTGTTTTATCACGCTTTTTATTTTTCACTGCTGTTTTTGAATTATTTCTAGGAGCGAACGAATGTGTGTTAAATGAATTACACTGAATCCACATATACCAAAATTGACACATAAAAGCGGTTATCCACGCAAAATAAATACGATCACTAACAGATATTGTTTTATCGATATATGCTAATATTGTTAAATGAATAATGGTTAAACAAAATCGTATTGCTGTTGTATTTGAATTTTCAGTTAACATACTTAATACATCTTTCGAAGATATTTTTAAACATGATGTAAAATTTTGTTTATCTTTTGAAAAAATATCGCACTTAACCAGATTATGATCGGTTCCGATGAATTATCAATTAAATCTTCTAAATATTTAATATTCACTTGTTGAGTTCCAATTAATAAAGTAGCTCTGGTCGACAATAATCTGTTTCTCAATTTTGTGCATAAATGTATCGGATCTTGCATGAAGAGTAATAGTTGTCTGCGCTTTAGGAAAAAGCACGATGACCATTTGGCTAGAACATCAATTGCGAATAACTTATTATCATTATTGTCAATTACTGGAATCAGAGCCGTTTTAAGACATTTGTGGCCCCTGTGTTGATCATTAACGTTTTCAACACATCAATTTGTATTTTTTTTAATAATAAGAAAATGCAAGGCTTAAGCCGTTCGATTGGGCCCTTGAGTCAGCCGGGCCCCTGTGCTATAGCACAATTAGCACATAGGATAAGAAGGCACTGACCGGAGTATTTGGTAAATCAGCAAAAAACCCTCTAACAAGCCTCATAGATTTCAAATACTTGGCGTCACAGTTCGTGCTGAATCCAATAATACGAATTGATTCCTTTGCACATTCATTATAAATCTATAACCAGCGTCGAATTATGTCAATAGATACTACTTTATTGTTTGTACCATACGCAGCTAAAAAGAGAACAGATATGTGGATACAAATAAAAAAGTATAGAAAAATACACAGTATGAATGGAGCTGATTGTGATAAATTAGATGTTATTGGTTGAATCATATGGAAATTCAATAATGATGATTTTTCTGCTGTTTTAAACCAGTTTTCTAATGTATAGAAATTATCTGTTTCGAAATAAATTGGTTGTGGTACTCCATTGTTGAGCGGTGTGCAAAATCCAATAAACGAATTTGAGATACGGTCATAACTTATTTTCTTCACCACATTCGTACAGTCTTCGGCACAAAATCCATGATCAGAATTAATTCCACCTAAATGATGTTTTAACGATTTGAATTTAAATTCGCATTCAGCTATTTGAACATTGGTGCATTTCATATATGATTCTACAGTTGCTATTGATGGTATGGCGCCAGGTAAATTAATTCGTACAAACTCATACGCGTTTCGGCCTGCCAATATGTACAATGATAATGCAAAACGTTTAACAAACTCATTATATTGATAATTATTTTTCTTCTTTTTAATTTATTCGCAATATTCTCAATGAACGCTTTCATGAACGTATTGTCTTCATTATTAAGTGCACCAACTATTTGTACCAATGAAGCACCATTTCCAGTATTAATATTTGATTGACTTTTCTTCTCTTTCTCTTCGTTTCTTGACTATGAAGAAGAAAAAATTAAGAACAGAGGAAAAGTTTTCTCCTCTAAAAAATGTCCTTTTTTTCTTGATTATTTTGGATATATTTATCAAAGTTAGGAAGTCCTTCCTTTTTTTGATTTTTGTTGAGAAGAACTACCATTTTTCCTTTTTAAACTTGTTGGTGTTACTAATGATAGTAATGATGCAGATGAAGATTTTTCAAGGAAATGAAGTTTTTATATTAAATGGATGTCTTTTTAACTTAGTAATTCGCTTATTCTTCTCTTGCATACTTGTTCTGTTCAGTAATTGATTGTTTTTATGTTTATAAGTTCGTTTTTTTAAATTGTTTTTTACATTTTACCAGTGGTTTTAAGCAAATATATAAGATGTTGATAGTAGTAAAAAAACCTTTTTTGATTGAACCGGCAGTTATTTAATAATTTTTGCAGCCACTGCGAAAGTCTACGTGTTCTTTTATTGACATCGTATTTTTTCTTTGCTTTTAATAACCGATCGTGAAAAGCAGCAGATTTTTATGATAGCAAGGACTCCAGGACTCCAGAAAATAGCGGAGTCCCGGAGTCTGCCGTTTCCCCCTTGGTATTTTCTCATCCTGAGAATCCATTGTCCATTCTTCCGGTGTTCGAAACCGAAATGATTTTGAACTCATCTTCGAATCCAAAGGATTAGAGAGTAATGGACCTATACGGTTGAGTTTTTCGCTGAAGACAAAAAGCAAATAAGTTCGAAAACTACCATTTGAAGCAGATTCAAAACTTGTCTAATTTTAAGATGGTTCGCAGAATATGTTCATCTGCATGCAGTTATTCTCACGATGCATTTAGTCCTTCTTTTCTTGTTCCTCTATAGAACAAAAATACAGAAATGACAGATAGATACATATCTAATTGGTCGTTTTTCTTTGTCTAATGCACGCGACTTTTTTTTGTTCATTTTTCTTTAGCAAAAAACTTAAAATATAATGAGACTTTTGTTTTTTCTAAAAATCCTACTCTAAAACTAGCAGTAATTCTTGTCCTCTCTGTAGTCAACGTGACGCATCCATCTTTTATATTCCACAAAAGGAGAGATATGTATGTTTTTGCTCACTTTCCTAGCTCCATATGTGAAACTGTTCCTATTGTGCATCTCTCTCGGCACATTACCTATCATATCCAAATCGCTCTACTTTTTATTTTCTGAATGGAATAAGAGCTCTGTCGTTTATGTTGTTGAAGCTTTTTATTTATAATTAATGAAAATAGAATAAATCAATATGGAAAAATAAATAGAAGAAAATTTTTTTCCTATAATGTCTGTGTCCTTCAAATTTAACTACTTTTCTTCCTATCAAAGAGGAGAGACAAAGAAGGGAATTAATATTCTCTCTGATGTTCTTTACATCTGACCCGTTGTGATTTTTCTTCTTTTTTGTGCTTGCCTTAGCCACAGGTAGGAGAGCGTAAAATCACATTATTCCATCTCTGTAAGATAAAAAAATAACACTATACATATATATGCATGAATTTTGGTTTTCTGTATTACAGAAAGCAATTTTCTGATATTTCAAACAGACGGAAAAGGGTTTTGACGTCGAAGGAAATAAATGAAACATCGGTTTATGTACGATTCAAACGATAAAAGTCTGTTTTTGATTTTCTGGACGATGTTTGTTTACAGTATACAATAATGCTTTCCTGAATTATTAATTATTCTGTTGATAAGATCATACAAAGTTGTTTGGGGAGTGCTACTTTTCTCGAAAAGATACTTTCATCGTACTATAAATAAGTTAAGGTATGAGATTCTTTATTTTCATTGTTACTGACTGTTTAGCTTGTTGTTGTTAACGAAATTTTGTCAAAGTCAAGAAATGGGCTGTTCCGCTTTCCGCGGTACACATCGTATTGTTCCTGATGGAATTGTAAGTGTGAAGGTTTAGATTTTCTCTGTGAAGACAAAACAGTCAGCTTTGTGTTTTTAGCCACAGAAGTATAACGAATCAGGCAGAGAATCATAATTCCGACGAGATAGTTGACATTTGTAATGATAGTGATATGGAAGACGATGTGACAGCAGCGAGCCAACGCAAAAAGCCGCAAAGTACGCAGTTAACGATCAATTCGAAAGTAGTCGTACTTCTCATAGACCTTGATTCAAGCTCAAATGCCACTTCAGCGTCAGCACTCGTTTCGCTACCGATTTCAAGATTACTGGAAAATTCAATAATGTTAATTCTTGCATTGATCAACTCGTAGTTTATGACTCGTACCACGCATTTCTGATTATTTCTGGTAATATCGGAGAAGCTGATGTTGATAAGCTAAATAATGTTCATAATGTGAAAAAAATTTATTTTCTTTCAAACAAAATTAGGATAAATTCTGAAAAATTTGAGAAAATAGGCGGATTGTATAGAAATATTAATAAACTTGTAAATGATGTACATGCTTCCCTCAGTCCGCATATTGTTCGTCCTGAACCGATGAGTGTTTTGATGGTGACAAACGAAGAAAAATCTACCAAAGACTTGGATGAAGAGAGTGCATCAGTTATTTGGTTCCAGTTACTTCTTGAGGTTTTATTGCGCATGGATAACACGGAGAACGCAAAAAAAGATCTAGTCAGGTATTGTAAAGCAGTTTATCAAGAGAACGAAGCTGAGCTACAATTGATAGAAGAGTTTGAGAGTAACTACACGACAGATAAAGCAATTTGGTGGTATACACGTGAAAATTTTCTCTATCAACTTCTGAACAAACTGCTTCGAAGTCAGAATATCAAGAACATTGATAGTATTTTTAATTTTCGATTAATTATTAAAGATCTGCATGAACAAATGAAAGAAGAGCATGAAAAACCGGTAAAAAACCAGCTGAAGTCTGCATCAGATGTCGAACATCATTACCAAGAACCACTTCCATCTGTGGAACGCGTTCAGGATATTTCTCAACATTCGACAACACGCGCAAATAATCAGTTACGATAAACAGCACGGGCTCCGGTTCCAGAAAGGGAATCATATTCTAGAAATGTTGACATAACACAGATAAGCGTTCGAAATGGTATCGAACAAAGAAGATTTGAAAATACTGAAACAGAGTACTCGATTTTCCCAATTGACCTTACGGAAGTATATCGCGGCCAGCTCATGGGACGAAGCGAAGTTGAAAGATTGAGAAAAAGCGAATCAAAGCTTATAACCATGAATTCATTTTTATCTGCCACTTTAGACAAAGAGATTGCATTGATGTTCACTTCAAGACTCGTACCAGATCGAGACTTTGTTAACGTCTTGTTAGTAATTAAAATGAATCTTGTCGACAATGTGCGGCCTTTTGCGCTCGTATCTAATCTGAGCTACTTTCATCCTGAACACGAAGCCTTATTTACGTTGGGCTGTGTTTAAAGTTGGGAGCGTAAGTGAGATACATGGTGATATGGTGAACATAATACTGACATTGAGTCACGAGCAAGAGAGAGAGATCTATAAATATGTTAATCATCTTAAACGTCGGATGGGTGATACGAGTTCTTTACTAACATTTGGCGGCTTTCTACTAGAAATGGGTGAGCATGAAAAAGCAAGGAACTATTGTTTAAAGATGCTTGAAGAACTTCCCTATAATCATCAAGACACATCGACAATTTATAATAATATCGACAGTTACTACTATAATAGTAAAGGCGATTATGGTACGGCATTGGCTTACTATCTCGAGGCATTTGAAATCAATTCAACTTGTTTAAGCAGAAAGAGTCCGATGATGCGCCGACACGCACAAACACTGGTACTGTATTTTATAGAAAGGAGCACTATGCCTCAGCTCTTAAGTATTATGACCACGCATTAGCTGTTCGCAAGGGATCTGATGCTCATGATGATGCATTACTGTCGAGATGCTACAGTCATGTTGCTCTTGCTCATCTACAGTTAGGGCATAATGGGTTAGCATTGAAAGCATCTATTGATGAATTTTTAAGTGATACAAGGTTACTATTATTTGTATACCATAGTATACCAGTAATGTTAAAAAGCGTCTGTTACCACAAGATCCTGAATTCGAGTTCTAGCCGAGGCATACATTTTCTTTTCGTGTTGAGAGAATTCTAGAGAACAGCCGAGTCTATAAGCGTCACCGACGTGCCGAGAAAATTGATTTAGTTCAATTAAGGATTGATTTATTACCATATTGATGTAACCACTTCAGTTCTTCCCGAATTTTTATTTTTCCGTTCCATGGATTATTGCTTAATAAGTGTCCCTCACCCGGAAATAATAATAATTTGTGTGGAACATTGAGACTGAATAGAGCACGCTCCATTATCATACTTTGACTAGTAGAGACACGAATATCGTTTTCCCCAGTTACCATGTGAGTTGGTGTGCGAATTTTATTCATTTGATAGATTGCTGATTCGGCACGATATCTGTCTGGCGCTTGCCACGGTTTGCCACTAATAAGGTAATCACTAAATGTTTGCTGATCAGTCGTCCCCCAACTTGACACCAGTTCAACTGCTCCAGCACCTGTTAATGCAACATTAAAACGGGTTGTTTGTGTAATTAGCCAATTCGTCAAATATCCACCGTAGCTATAGCCACCGACTCCGAGTTTCCTTCCATCAGCAATACCGTCTCGAACTAAACTATCAACACCATACAAGATATCTGTACCCGGTAATGACACCATATTATTTACAATTTCACTTAAGAATAAATTACCATAACCAGTTGATCCTCGGTAATTTGGTTCTAAAACTAGCCAGTCCTCTGTTGCTATCATTCGGCTACAAGAATACCAATCGGCTTGAAAATTGTTTAGGTCTGCATCAAACGGACCACCATGAATCAACACAAATAGTGGAAGATTTTTTTGTTCAAATTTGCCTGGTGGATAATGTAAAATTCCTTCAATTTGTTTTCCGTCATTATTATTAACCCACCGATAAACTTTTTGTTTAGGTAATTGCCGTTGCTTGAATAATTTATTTTCTTCTGTAATTGCCCGCGCATATTGAAGTTGATTAATATTTTCAATATAATAAATTTCTTTTGGTTCATCAAACGACGAATGAACAAAAGCAATAGACGAACTATTGGATGCTGTAACAATGTTTTCATAACTTCCGTTGAATCCATTTTGTTCTATTAACGGATCATCAAATGACTTTTGTGTATACATATGAACTTCAGTTCCCGTTTGTCCCAAAATAATCACATCTTGACTGAGAGCGTAATCAATTATATTTCCTAGAAAATATTTTGCCCAACGTTGAACAATACCTGTTTTACTATCAACTGAATATAATCTAGTCTGATAATTGACACGTTGGCTATCAAGTGAACCGGAACCTCTATACACAAGAAAAAATATATGTTTACTGTCACTTGTGTAGTGTAGTTGTGCTTCACGCGCTGCATTATCCGTAAGTCGATACGGTAGAGACGAAGAATTCGAAAGATTTACAGTATAAAGTTCGAAATCGTCATTTTTTTCGAATCGTCCTGATCTTGACTGAGAAATAAACGCAAGTTGTTCGCCGTTGGGCGAAGCGATCAATTCAGAAACACCATATGATGCTATTGTTGTGACGATTTCTTTTTTAATTATTTCATTTTCAATATTTGAAACACGATAAATTGTATCACCTCGTTCGGATTCTCGATATTGAATAACATCTTTCCATTCATTTTTATATAATTTTTCTTCGTCATATGTTTTTGGGGTCTGTGTAACGTAATAAAAACTGTCATTATTCTTATCGGCTGCCCAGGTAAATGCATGTATTATGGGGCATCTATTTAAGAAGTCCATGAAGGGAGCCTTGGTCAGATAAAACTGAATATGTGAAAGCAAGGAAAGGGACCGTTTTAATTTCCACCCAGCACACGCATCTAAAGGATAACAGTGTCAGTCTTTTAACTTTTTGTTTTGTATAGTTTTGGGTTAGAGAAGAGGTGAAGGACTTGGGAAAGTCAATTTTTCAAGGCTTCTAAGAAACTTTCTCAAAAACCTTCAATAACTTTCGGTTGAAGCCCAGATCATTATGGATTTTGATAGTAGACATCGTAAAGTTATTCGATGATGTGCTGAGCTTAATACCGACTTTTTCCAAAATATTTTGTACTTCTGACGTGGGAGGCTTTAAGCAACATTATATTTTTAACATGTTTCATAACGTATTTTACTTTGTCCAATAACAGCCTGTTCTACGAAGTTTTATCCACAAAAACAATTACCGGTGACAAAAAAGACTAGTTTTTTGCTAAGTCAACAAGAAAGATAAATGTCTCAGATATTTCAGGACTTATTTTGTTGTGATTCTTACCGATAACTACTATCTATTTCAAAATAGAAAGCAGTCTACAGTTTGTTGCATAAATTTCGATAGGAACAATATACAGAGCTGCACTTGTCGGAGTATGAAAGAGGACATCCAGGGGATACGTTTACGCTAAAATGAATCTGATTCAACAAGTGTATCACATCACGGTGTAGCTTTCGAAGCAAAAGTTCTAGTCTATCATTCCAAGAATCTAGATAACGGAATATTGCTCTAAATACCTGTGCGGATAGAGCAGATGTCACTCTACAATCTGGCACAAGTCCTACAGCTCCATCTCACATGGTTCTGACACTAAGACATCTGCGAGCATCTACCTGCAGACTTTGCAAGCCTATCCCAGCCCACAGTTTGAGAGATAGAGACTTGCGGCTTTTGCCGTTCAATGCGCCGTTGAATAAGCTACAAAACAACGGCCTCTGTTTTTTGAAAATTTGTTTCCATCGAAAAATATATGAGTTTTACTAAACACTTCGCTCAAATGGCATTTTTTCAAAGTCATTTTTTGCTGTTTTTTGC